GTTTTTAAAACTAGAATGTTTCTCACTTGGTGTTTCATGTTTACCGGTGACTAGATGCAGGTTATGAATTCCTGGCTGGGACACTCTGTGAGTGATGTATCCTCGCACTTCCAGAGGTACACAGTGTTCATCTGCCCTGATTGGTGATGTTAGTTTTGATCACCTCCTCAGGGTACTACTCACTTTTCTTTATTCTTTATTGTGTCATTACTCTTTTTCTCCCTTGTGTCTGATAAGCCTGTGGGAACACACTTTAAGACCATTCAAACAACCTGCTCCTCTTAACTGTGTTTAACCAGCAGTCCCAGAGAAGGTACTTTAAGACCATGCAGATAAACCACCCCTCTTCAAAATATCCTCTTTGGACTTAGCATGCATCAAGGGTTTTTCCCTGAACCAGTGTTTACGAGGGTGATTTTCTACCTCGGGGCACTTCCTTCACGTTTACCATGTGGCCATCGGCATCCTCTTATAAACAAGATGCCACCTCTCCCTCTCTTTATATTTATCTCATCAGTACGGATTTGTGGATTTCCTTTTCCCCCCATTGGTTTAAAATTAATTATTTTCCGGGGCGCCTGGGTGGCGCAGTCGGTTAAGCGTCTGACTTCAGCCAGGTCACGATCTCGCGGTCTGTGAGTTCGAGCCCCGCGTTGGGCTCTGGGCTGATGGCTCAGAGCCTGGAGCCTGTTTCCGATTCTGTGTCTCCCTCTCTCTCTGACCCTCGCCCGTTCATGCTCTGTCTCTCTCTGTCCCAAAAATAAATAAACGTTAAAAAAAAAAAAAATTAATTATTTTCCTTAAGTAATTTTTTACTCAGATGGTTCCAGATTTGGCTGGTGGAGGCTTCTTTAAGCTGACTCCTGGGTCTTACTGACAGGTCGCTAGCATCCTTTCAGGCACCTCTGTACTTTGTAGCAAAAAAAGGATGTTATAAGCTCATCTTGTGCTTTCCTTGCCTCAGGCTTGGTTGTCTGTTAATTTTTTTGGTAGACGGTATCACCCTGAACTAGATCCTGTGTCTAAAATAGACACCAGGGAAGCATGTTTCAGTTGCAGTTCATGGAGGTAGAATGCTTTTGAATAAGAACTGGCAGCCAAGGGGCGCCGGGATGGCACAGTCAGTTAAACATCTGACTCTGGATACTGGCTGAGGTCATGATCTCATGGTTTGTTAGTTCAAGCCCTGAGTTGGGCTCTGCACTGATAGCGTGGAGCCTGCTTAGGATTCTCTCTCCCTCTCTTTCTGCCCCTCCCCCGCTTGCACACACACATGCTGTCTCTCTCTCTAAAATAAATAAATAAACATTAAAAAATGAAGAAAAAAAAAAAGGAACTGGCAGTGAAGACGCAGGTGTCCTTGATTGTCCTTAACCCTCTGGGTTACTAATGTTCTCTGATAAAATGAGGAACTCATCATGTAAACCTAAATACCTTTCTTAGGTGTCATGTGAAGACAACTCTGAGATAGTGTCGTTTGATTTCTCACTTCTAAAACGGGTCCTTCAAATACTGGCATTGGTATATTTGGCTGACAGTTTGCTTTTTTTTTTTTAAGTAAGAAATACGGACATGTAGCATATTTTAAGTATTTGATGATAATAAGCAAAAGGAAGCTTACTTAAGAACAGGTATATCTTTCTCTGAATTTATAATTTCTGAATATCTTTCTTCCAGTAACACTAATTTACTCTTGAAGGTTCTGTTTGTAAGGCATATAAAACAAATAACGTGAACTATCTGATTTTCTTCTTAGAAAATAAGACCTACTCATCTGTGAGAACGGAAGCTTTATCTGTGATAGAATTACTGCTTAAAAAACTTGAAGGTGAGCTCTTGATGGTTCTGATCAGAGGATCAGAAAG